TGTACTCCTGTCCCCACCCAGTAGCATAGGGCGCACCGGTTATGCCTTTTTCTTGAAGTAGAATTTCATTAGTTTGAAGTGGAATAAATTAACGCCGAGGATGTCATAACCTTTTGTCTTTATCTCATGAGTAAAATGCGCAGGAATCTCATAGAGATAAAGTCGTGTGCTATTTTTGGTTAGTTTAGGTTTTCTAGTTACTTTAAGGTCGATAAACCTCTTCGTTTTCGATTGGTTAGTTAGAAAATAAGAAACGTTTTTATTGGTTAATTCAATTTTAATGTGGAGGAGGAGGAGGAAGACGAGGAGAAGGAGGAGGGAAAACAATAAAAATGAGGAGAAGGAGGGAAAACAATAGCAATGTGGAGGAGGAAGAGGGAAAATAATAAAATTGTGAAGGAGGGAATAAAAACTGAGGAGGGGAATGAAAAATAAAAAGTAAAATCAAAAAGGGAAATAAATCAGTTGCGGAGGAGTAGGAGGGGTGTGGGGTAAGTAAAACATTGTCTTTCGCACTAAAAAGAGCTATTTTGCCTTTGCCCTCATTAATATGCACGATTTGCCCGCCAAAAATCAGTGAAACAGAACTAGGACAATCACAGCAGCAGGAAATAGGACTCGCATAATTACGTTACGTCCCAGTGATTTTAAGTCCCAGACAAGTTTGACACTATGAATTAACCAATGAAAACGTTTCTTATTTTCTAACTAACCATTCGAAAACGAAGAGGTTTATCGGCCATGAAATACTAGAAAACCTAAACCAACTAAAAATAGCACACGACCTTATCTTTATGAGATTGCTGCGCATTTTACTCATGAGATAGAGACAAAAGGCTATGACGTCATCGGCGTTAATTTATTCCACTTCAAACTAATGAGATTCCACTTCAAAAATAAGCCCAAACCGGTGCGCCCTATACTACTCCACCCCTTATCTGTTAAATTTAAAATGTAAGGGTATGGCTGGTCGATGCATACGCGCATTAGAATCCTCTGGTATGCTGAATGCTGTCAACTTGTAAAGACTTTCTTCTTCGCTGAACCACCCATTTCGATTTTATTAGATACCTGAATATTCTCCCAGGTTTGCCCGAAATGAAGAAAAGTATCACGGTGTTTATATGAACAGAAAAGAATGGATGATTTATTGTCTTGCAACATGTGACTATACCTCACAGCATTGTCCCTGCTCTTCAATAGCTCCCTGACTTTGGCTAGCTTCCACCAACAACGCGCAGATCCTTCTTTCTTGAAAACGACAATGTCTCCTACTAATGAATTGTTCGATAGCTCCAGTTCTGTTTCGGTGGTATTCAAGCAACCGTAAAGATACTCTCTACGCCATTGCTTGGTAAAACCTTCAAGCAATCTGAAATGGTATCTTGCTCTCTTTGTCAATGACTGGAATATACTAATGACATTGCAGTGTCTCTGGTGTGGCATTGTGGCGATTTGACGACCATATATCAAGTCTGCAGGAGTGAGTGGGTATCAGAGTCCTTCTTCATCATCATAGATGTAGGTCAATGGCCTGTTGTTCAGAGTAGCTTCTATCTCTACGACTAAGGTGCAGAGTTCCTCAAACGTTAATAAGGATCGTCCAACAGATTTCTTTAAGCACCGTTTTACACTACGCACGAGTCTCTCCCAGAAACCACCCAACCAAGGGGCTCGTTTCATGATGAACTGCCAATCAACTTGTCTGTTCGCAAGGTACTGCTTCACTTCTCTAGAGCTTGAAATCTTCTTAACATCCACTGATACGGACTTAAAGGTTTTCGCATTGTGCGTCAACAACTTTGCTGGAAGTCCTCTTCGGCTAACAAATCTTCGGAATGCTTGTAAGAAAGACGTAACTGCCAAACTCTCAGTTAACTCAAGGTGGAGAGCACGTGTTGATGCACATGTAAACAGGCAACAGTATGCTTTGCTGCGGTTGTCAGGTGACGCAGAATTGAGATGGAGTGGTCCCGCCTAGTCTATCCCTGTGTACGTGAAAGGCAGTCCCTCATAAACACGATCTGTAGGCAAGTCAGGGGAGGCGGGAGCAGTGAATGGTTTTTCCCTCATGTCTTCTGCATATGGTGCATTTTCTGATAACTCTCTTTACGGCTTCTCTTCCCTTCAGAACCCAATGTGTTTCTCGTATAGCATTCAATGTCTCTCTGACACCATTGTGGTGAGCATGATCATGTCCCTGTCTGATCAACAGTTCTGTGTATCTGTGGCGCGAAGGTAGCAATATTGGATTCTTGCTTTCTTCGGTTGTGTCTGCATTGTTGATCCAACCCTTACAGCGAATAATCTTGTCCTCATCAAGATATAGGTTGAATTGCTTCTCTCACAACCATGAAGAAGGTTCTGTCGTTCCGTAGCAAATGAAGGAGCTTGCACACCTCGGATCCATGTGACCTCTGCAAAGTTTAGATCTTCAGCCTTTAGTTCCTTACTCTTGACTGCACTTCTGTCTCCCCTCAGTAACCGAATGAATTTCAACACGTAAGCAGTAACTCGCAGCAACTTCAACTCGGACCCTTATCTTTCAATGTCCATTATTTCTTCCAGATTCTCATACAGTGTTCTATTGAGCGCTGCGGTTGCTAGTGAATGTGTTATGGCAGGTGTGTGCTTGACTAATTATTCAGAAGTCGTGCTAGGTGCTGATGTAGATGGTGTCTCGGGCCACAAATTTGAAGGGTCCCTTAAGAAGGTCGGTCCAGACCACCACAATTCACTTTCAACAAGATCCTTCCCAGAGCAACCTCTTGAGGGTATGTCGCTGGGTTCATGTTCCCAGGACAAAATCTCCACATGTCTATGTGTGTCAGTTTACGGATCACGTCCACCATATGCTGAACGTATTGCTACCACGGCCTGAGGTTCTTGATCCAACAGCGTGTGGTGAATCAGTCTACCCAATAGTACACATCTACTTCAAATGGCAGTAACTTGAACGCATTGAAAACTGTGTCTACTAGTTTTGATAAAATGTGATCACCCATGAGTTCTAATCTTGGGATTGATTGTTTCTTCGGTGGTGCGACCTTTGTTTTGGAGGCAATGAGCCGCACGTCAACATCTCCAGCTTCATACACTGTACGCAGATAGACAACCACTGCAATGGCTTGATCAGATGCATCACTGAACCCATGGAGTTGGCGACAAACTGGCTTCTTCTCTCTCACGAAGTAACACCTGGGGATATTTAATTTGGCTAAGGATGAAAACTCATCGAAGTGATGATTCTATTTTGCTAACATTGTTCCTTCTAAACGGTCATCCCAGTTCACTTTATCAACGCAGAGTTTCTGAAACCATATCTTCATGTTCACGACGAAGGGGCTTAACAAACCAAGTGGATCAAACAGTTTGGCTGAAAGCTTAAGCACTGATCTTTTCGTTGGGGGCAGAGAATTGACACTGACAAATTCAAAACGTAACTCATCTCTCATAGTGTCCCAGTTCAATCCAAGGATCTTCACCTCTGACTTGTCATCTTCTTCTTTTATTTCATCGCTGATCCTTTGCCTTACAATGCTTGAATTGGTCTTCCATTTGCGAAGGTTGAAACCTCCCTCTTTCGTGATGGCCTTTGCCCTTTGATAAACATGAAGAGCAGATTCATCATCACTGGTTCCACCCGGGAAATCATCAACATACAATGAATTAGCTGACAATTCTGATACCTGTGGTTCTGGTTCCTTGTAATGTGATAAATGATGCTGAATTGTTCCATTCAGAATTGCCGGACTCGAAGTCAGTCCAAATACAAGCCTACGAAACCTGTACTGCACAATCTCTGGTCTCTCCTCCTCAACGTCCTTAAACCACAGAAATCTCAATTGGTCACGGTCAGCCGGATTAACTGAAATTTAATGAAATGCTTTCTCAATGTCAGCTGTCAGTCCTACAGGATAACTTCTGAACTTGGCCAGTACTTCAAATACATGTGGAGTTAACTTTGGGCCCTTTTCTAAACGGTTATTCAACGAGTAGTGATTCTTGTCCGCTCTTGCTGGGCCATCAAATACGATACGCATCTTTGTAGCCTCCCTGTCTTCTCTCAAAGCTCCATGATGTGGTAGAAAATGCGCACCCTCGAAATCTTCCTCATCTTTGGGAACTAACTCTATAATCCCAGCTTCTAATTGTGCCTTGAAAAAGCTGTCATACTCCTGAAGTAACTCTTCATCTTTCTTCAAACGTGCTTTCAAACAGTTAAGTCTGGTGACACAGATCAAAGTTGTCTGACTGTTTACATGATGAGGCATGTTGGTTATGTTGTAATGGCACAGGAGCTTGATTTGGGTTTTTGGTGGCTGTATGTTTCTCTGTATGATGAGTTTTTGCCGAACCATGTGAAGACGAAGTAGACGAAGACGTCCCGCCATTTTTTTACCCGAGCACGTGCGATGGCGATTTCCCCCCTTGTCTGTAGAATCCTCGAACGGATTTCATCCGCTACCTCAACTTCCTCTTTGATATGATCAACTTAACATATTTTTGTAATCTCCTCGTGGAATCCCGCAAGTAAAATTAGCTTTTCATCCAATATTTGCTCAACAACTTTCAAAGGGCTCCACATGATATCTTCTAAATCGGTGTGTTCGAGAATAGTTCTCGCTTCGTTTATGTTTTTTGTTGCGACGGTTCGATGCCCTCCACGTTTTGCCTACAGGCGATCCAACTTTTCCTTTTCTTCTCCCTTGATAACTAATGAAACGACTCAATGCAATGATGACAAATGAAAACGACTCAAACGAATGCAAACCTCTGCCCGCGTTGGGCTCCATGTTATAAACACAAAAAAATGGATGATTTATTGTCTTGTAACATGTGACTATACGCGCGCGTTACCCTCGGGTGTTGTTGTTGTTATGTGCCTCGATGTGGATTGTGTGATCGTGCGACCAGGATGGCGGGTGGAGAGTTAAACGAGTGGAGAGTTTAACAGTACAGAATTTAAGAGTTTAACTGTACAGAATTTAACCCAGAGCATGAGTTTAACGGTGGAAAGTTTAAAAGAGCTGTGGGCAAAAGATTTTCTTCCCAATATCCGAAAGGAGATCCGCAAGGAAATCGACTCCCTTAAAGCCAGTCTTCTCGACCTCAAAAAAAGGTGCGACGAAATTGAAAAGTCCCAAAGTTTTATCTCACAGAAATACGACACTATGATATCGGCGATCAAGGACGTAAAAGAACACAACGAAGACGTGAAAAGCCAAATTAAAGAGATCAAGGAAGACATAAACAAGCTCGACAACGATGGTTTTAATATCGAGGTCAAGTTGGATGAGCTCGAGCAGTACGCGCGACGAGACTGTCTGGAAATAACCGGTATTCCAGTGGTACCCTAACGATAGCCCAGCGTTGCTGGTGAAGGAAATGTCTGAAATTATGGGAGTGAACCTCAACGAAAACGATATATCGATCGCTCATCGTTTACCCCCGACGAAGAAAGTGAAAGACCGACTAATTGTCAAGTTCACTCGAAGAGAGAAAAGAGACGAAATTTACAGCAAGAGGAAAAACTTAAAGTCCAAGCGGACTAAAGATCTCCCGTCTGTGGTCTGCGAGCCGGAATCTGCCGTTATAAGTCATAAAGTACAGTGAGAGTTTAACGCCATACAGAAAACGACTACTGGGCAGAATCTTACAATTCAAGCGCGACCACAATTACAAGTTTATTTGGACGGCTAACGGTAAAATAATGCTGAGGAAAACGGAGAGCTCCACTACGAAATGTTTTGTAGCCCATGAGGAATTCGAAGACTTTCTTGACGAGCACAATTAATTAGCTATCAGTTTAATTATATTACGGAGGTAAAAATGGCTGATTACCAGTAAGGCGTAAGTAGTTGATCACCATTTTATGATTTAACTGAAAGAGAATTTCATGCTATGGTTGGCAGCTGGCCGGATAGGCTTCATGATCTTGACCTTTACGATCTCCTCCCAAATCCAAATAAATTCAACGAGTGCGTCCCAGATTTAATGTTAAATACCCCCTGCTCAGAATATTATTCAGTCCGTAGCTTTAATAAAATGCTCGTAAATTCAGACGCAAAATCTTTTTCAATTCTTCACTGTAATATTAGAAGTTTATCTAAAAACCTAAATCTATTAGAAGAACTATTATGCCCCCTTGACTCCAAGCTGGATATACTTGGAATTACAGAAACTAAATAAGGTGAGAAGTCTATTTCTAATGTAAATATCACATGGACTCGCCAACAAACGCAGGTAGAGCTGCTTTTTGTATAGCTGATAATCTTAAAGCTGTATCTAGGCCTGACATTAAATTTGACGTAGCGCTAGTTGAATCCTGCTTGGCAGAAATTGATGCTGGTGACGGTAAAAAGAAGATCATAACAGGTTGTATCTACAAGCATCCAACTTGTAATTTAGCACAGTTTCGCAACCAACTAAATGATGTAATCAAAACAATTAATCCCCATAGACACGAAATTTACATCTTTGGAGATATGAATATAAATTTCCTGAAATTCAATGAACATGCTCAAACTGAAGAGTTTTTAGATATGGTTTATGCCAATAAAATCTTGCCGATCATTACTAAACCTACGAGTCCCACGCCGTACTTTACACTATTAGAAATCTTAAAGTTGGAGAATATCTTTAAATTAAAAATTGGTGCTCTTGTGCATAGAATTCAATATCAAAAAACGGATAAACCCCATGTCCTCTATGACTTAGTTCAACCGGCTTTAGCTGTCCATAATTATAATACCAGGTATGCCACTAATCAAAACCCGTGCAGACCGTTTTCCAGAACTAATTATGGCCTAGCAAGGTTTAGTGTAGTGGCATCGTAGACCTGGGAAGCAACACGTACGAAAATTAAGTGTCTCCCCTTGAACAGTTTTAAAAAAGAATATAAACTCTTTCTACTTGACAGCCAGGCATCTTGAACAACTCTTATCTGTTACTTAGCTCTATTTATTTAATTATTTAATTTAAATAGTATTTCTTATTAGTACTGTATAACCTCCACCCACTTGCAACCGCTCTGTGGTAGTAGCCGACTCGAAAGCTTGGTTTCTTTGGCTGCTACACACTCTTTTCCTTTGTTATGTTTAATTCAATGTATAGTTAGCTCTGTTTTTTTACTTCTTCTTTTTCTTCCTTATTGTTGTTGTATTGTAATTGAATAAGTGTAAAAAAATGAATTTGAACTTGAACTTGATCAAACTTTTATCTATCTCTAACTCCGCAATTCCATCTAGAAACGTGTTCAGCGCAGCAGGCTTGATAACTTCATTGTTATGAGGGAGTAACACATACTCAACTAGCTCAGCGATGTTTTGACGGGAATAGTGCGTTTATTTCGAAGTAATTGTCCGCTGGGGGTCCAGAAAAGAATATCTCTAGACGCGGCCATACCATGCAGCAAATCAAAAGCGCGCTTTTCCGGCACTGCTCGGGAAAGATGATTCAAAACATCTTGTATTCTTGGTTCTTCATCCTCGCTTTCATCACCAGAACTTTCGCTTTCTTCATGTTCACTCTCGTGTTCTTCTTCTTCAACAAAATCTATCTTTCTCTTCATTTTGATAAGTATCCGTGACAGACTTAGCTTCGAATGATCAACGTAGCGGTGCGTCACCTCTTTTATAACATTAGAAATCCTAAGCTTGAAACAACAGGGGCTAATACATCTTCAATAAAACCACTACCCTCTTGTACAGGGACTCGCTTCTTTGTTTTGTAAGGGACATTTGGACTGGCCAGGTCAAGTAAAGCATCCTTATATGGCAGCAATATCCGCTTATTTTCTTCGGGGATAGGAATGTGTCCCATGAGTACATTTTATAAGACTTGGACTAGTGCGTGTAGTTGCTGTGGTGTAGCTGTCTTTGAAAGAAACTGGCCCTGATAAACAGGGCAATCAGCTAACAGTTGCAGAAAACCACGATTGTTGTTCACTACACGAGACAGTGCTCCAAAGTGAAGTGGGCAGTCTTTTATAGAATCTCGTGGAGAAAAAAAATGAGACGAGTGGGCGAAGGATAGAAAACAATAGAATGATGACGAGGAGGAGGAGGAGAAGGAGGAGGGAAAAACAATACGCAACATTCTAACTTATTCTCAGTCTACATTTTGCTCCTGAGGAGTTGACATGAGTTGGCTCTGTTCTGTCTGTGAAAAATCTTTCAGTAGAAAAGATAATATGCAAAGGCACGTGATGTCTAAACACCGCAATGCTGGTCTCGCCCATTTCAAACAGTTCCAATATTCTCACAGAAATGTCAGCGGTCTCGCTTCGAGCATCCTTTCACCTCCATGATTGCCGGAATGATCTGATCCGGACAAACGGACTGGGTTAGATCTCTATTGCAAAAAGCTTCAGAGACCATTTACCCTCCTCCGGAGAGGATCGTTTGGTGTTATTTACAAAGTCAGCCTGCGTATACATAAATGTTTGTCGCCATGCCACACATTGAATTCGTCAAGGGAATTCCTACGGCTTTTGGAGCAGGATTCCTATTTTGAAGTGAACAAACGGAATTTGATCGTGTTTGATGATCAGATGATTGACGCCAGTAAAGACAAGTGAATTGTGAACCTCTTTACTCGTGGTTCTCATCATCGCAATCTCAGCGTGATTTATATCGTGCAGAATCTATTTCATCTGGGGAAAGGTAGCCGCAGCATAAGCCTAAACAGCCATTATCTGGTGTTATTCAAGAATCCACGAGACAAATTGCAAATCTTGACTCTGGCCAAGCAAATGTATCCCGGGCAGACGGATTTCTTTTTAAATCAGTACGAAGAGGCTGTAAAAAGACCTTTTGGTTATCTTCTGATTGAACTGAAAACTGCTACCCAAAATAATTGTCGGTTGCGATCAAACGTCCTGCCCAGTGAAGAAGGCTTTAACCAAGCAGGGTTTCAAGGAAATATTCCTCAAGAACTTCTAAAATATCTGAAGCAGCAAACTCTTTCGCCTGTCCCTCTCTTCCAGCTATGCAAGAAATACAAGGCAACATGGATGACGTGCTTTCTCGAAACGATCTTCCGGATGATGAAAAAGCTAAACCATACTTTCAGTTGCAAAACAGATACCTGGCTTTTAAAGAACAATTAAATACAAGAACACGACCGGAAGAAATAATCAGCACTGTTTAACATCAAGGACACAAGATTCTTCAACAGCAACGACAGCATTCTCCACTCCCCTCAACCCCTTTAACGTAACCCCTGAATTAACACAAGCGGCTATCTCTCAAAAACCTGACAAAGAAAGCCTCACCCCTCCACAACCCTTAAATCCTGCTTTCCTGACCCCTCCTCCCACAGAAGAAACCCCATCACAACAAGGCCCGAAGCGCAAAAGGGGTCGGATTCAATTTGTAAAGTATTTGGATGATCATAATTATAAAGCTCATGCCAAACAGCTAAGGAAACGTCGGCATAAGAAATTCAAACCTTACAAGTACTCCATGGGCGAAGAGACTGAAGATTAATTAATTTCCATTCCTTACAAATCGCTGTGTATTTGACTCTTTGTCATTGTTTTTTAATAAAGTTTTTAAAACGGTATCTCTCTTGTGGTTTTATTGCTAGCAATTATTAGTCGCGTGTTTTAATTAATCCTTGTTAAATTATTTAAAATTGTTTGTATTAGACTTTGGGCTTGCGAACTCGCATAATTAGCTGACTAAGGGCGCGTGAAACGCTGAGACTTAAATAGTTTTTCATGTTCTCCAGATAGATAGGAGAAAACTTCAGACAAACTTGAAATAAAGAGTTTTCAGCTCCCCTTTGTGTATATGTGTGTTGTTTATATATATCTGATTTTTAGCGCAAAAATAAGAAGAAGTAAACTAAATTGAAATAAAGACTTTTCAACTCCACTTTCTGTATCTGTTTTATTCATATATCTGAGTTTTAGCGCTAAATAAGATATAGGAAACCGTTTTTCGCGTTGCTTGGTGATTACTTCTCTTATTCCTATTTCTGTTTTAATAGACGTTCAATGAACTAGGCTCAAGTTACTTAACGAGCAACCGAGTTTTGACCGAATAAACTTTTTCACCTTGGCGAATTTGTTTTTACTTTCTCGGAAAGCCTTTTTCATGTGCTATTCTTTTCGTGCGCCAATAGAAACTTTCTTTTTTGACGCCTGTCAAATGACTGTCAAATCGTGCGTCCTGCACTTGTTTCCGGTCCGCCAAACAGGAAGAAGCCATATGATAAACATCTGATTAGCCTTGTTTTTTCGGTCCGTACTTTAGATTGCGGATCCTCGTTTTATTCCATCGATTTATGGCGGGCCATAAATCGATGGAAAAAAACTCGGTCCGTAATTTATCGTACGGACCGAAAACTCGGCTAATAAGAGGTATGTAAAACGAACCCGTATTTAGCGCACAACTATATTAAGTGGACACCAGCGAAGATCCCGTGGGTGTCCGCCTAAAACAGGTTTTACTGTATTAGAAAAAATGGCAACGAGAATGTGTTATTTATGCATTTTAGAAACCACATAATAATAATAAAAAAACAATTGCTGATGGTTTATGGAGGTAATATACCCCCCGGTTGGGGGTTGGACTTGGGAGTGTTGAGGAAAGGTGAGAAAAGCCTGTAGATGACAAGCCAAAAGATTAACAATATGTTTTGGACCAATTATATTGTGCCTAGTGTCTCAATTGTTCGATTATGGTAAACACTTATATAATGTCTTTTTCTTGAATTAGAAACAGCCTTCTGCCTGGTAAATAGAAATTGACCGTTTAATATTTAGCAGGTGGCTCTTCCGTTTGGGTTCTTTTTATTAACTATCTCCCCTAACTGCCAAAAAATTGGCTTCAATCCTACTCCATAAATGAAACCCCAAAGACTGAAACAATACTTATTAAAAACAATGCTAGTTTTATAGGTTATGAATAGGCTACGAGACCTTTGAAAATGTTTATTGATTGCTATTTACATATAAAAAGCTCATTAACTGATGAAGCTGGAGTCTAATCATTGACAAGTGTCGGCTATAACCGGTGTACTGAGTATAAAATTTTAGACAGCAAGACTCTTGCTAAGGGGAAACTTAAAAGAACCAAGCATTGATCATGCAGGTAATTGTTTTTCATGTTGTATATTTTCTGTGACACCTCAAAAAAGCTTAAATCTACCAGTGTTAAATTAAGTCCTTCCGAGTTTAATTTTTCGAGACACGTTTTGTTTCTAGGGCGGGCTCTTTTAGGGCTGTTAAAACCCTTCATCGAACATTTCATAGCCCGTTGTCTCTCAAGAAAGCAACTTTTAAACTTTTTTTCAAATTCTGATCTCGATTTATTGTTGGTCAAAACACAAAAAACGAAAATAACAGCAGAAGCCAACCTTGGTACACTAAAAACAATTCATTTTTTTTCACAAATTTTTATGATAGTTGTTGTCTTAAGGTAATGAATATTCCGCAGTTGTTTTGCAGATGGATTTACAACTATATGAAATTATTAATGAGCAATATAAAGAAACAACGAAACTTTAGCAAGAGCATTATTGAAGGAAACCGGAGTATTCACCTCATTTAGATAAGTTTGAGAATAATATTGTCATAAAATATCAGGTGTCATAAAAATTGTCTTAAAAACACGTTTCCAATGTACACGAATTAAACCGTTCTTCGGAAAAAAAGAAGCCTTAAACACACGAATGCGTCAGTGTTTCAAAAGATATTTATGTCTCCTTTTGTTATATCAAAAGTAGGTTGAGTTTGATCGTCCGGGTGAACGAAGTCCTGAATAGGACTGTTGTTGTTGACAGTGTCTGACGTTTCGACAACCTGTGCGGTAGTCATCTTCAGAGTCAA